AGCCCAGCAGGTCGAGGCTGCAGTGGCCGGGAGCATGCCACTGCACTCCAGTCTGGGCGAGAGTGAGACTCCAACTCAAAAAAAAAAGAAATATGCCCAACTAGTAGTTGAGTAAATTCTAGCACACAGCACTTTGCCTAAAAACACTGACAAAAACAGGTAAGTGAAGAGAGATTCCCCATTATCAAAGAACTTTGGCTAATCTTCTTGTAATCCAATAATTTAGTATTACATTAAAACCATGGCTGGGCTCGGTGGCTCAGCCTGTAATCCCAGCACTTTGGAAGGCCGATGCAAGTGGATTGCCTGAGTCCAAGGGTTCGAGACTCACATGGCCAGCTTGGTGAGACTTCACCACTACAATAAATCAAAAATTAGCTGGATGTGGTAGCACCCGCCTATAGTTCTAGCTACTTGGAAGGCTGAGGCAGAAGGATTGCCGGAGCCTAGCAGGTTGAGGATGCGTGGCCAGGAGCGTGCCACCGCACTCCAGTCTGGGCGACAGTGAGACTCCAACTCAAAAAAGAAAAAAAAAAAACCCAAAGAAACCTTCCCTTTAACTCCCTCTAGGATCCTAAGTACTAAATTCAGAATAACAGGCTGGCTTCAAGGTAGTTTAAGACAGTCCAAGTATCCCTAAAATTATTCCAACCTTGAAGACAGCCATAATGCTAGCTCCCAAATGACCAAGTGTATTATAAGACTTCCAAATGGGATACAACCCAGATTCGATTATAGGTCAGCAATGGAATAAACCAGATCTTAATTCCAGACTGAAAAGGAATCAATGCTGGAAGACCAATGATATTATATGGTCTATATCCTGCATTATTCACCATGAAATTTAAGTTCCTCCTCCTTTCCTGTATCCATACATCATTCATCCTCCAGTCATTCTTATGATAAACTCCATTCAGAGCTAACAGCACATTCCCCTAGTCCATAACGCCCTAACTTTAAATTTAATTGTGATTTAAAGCAAATAGCCAGGTCCCCTAGACCCTCCCACCTGGAAGTTACAAGGACTTGGAATTCCTCACCCAGCAGTCTCTTCTTTCTCATCATGAAGTCGTTTAAGGATATCTAATAAGGAAGCCAGGCCTTCAGCACCAAATGTCTGCACCCAACTATAAAAGAACAGAGATAATGCATTATCAAATGAAATCAACAAATACTTAATTGCCAAACAAAGTTGATCCTGGCAACTCTTTACTCCCAATCCAGATTACTGTCGTATTTCCCTGACTCCTTTGATCTTCAATCACCTCCAAAGAAATCCAGTGTTGGGCTCCTACTCCCGTTCTCTCCTCAGAATCCTCACCTGACAGGGTTGTTATTCAGAGAGACACGAAGGGACTCCAGACAGCTGAGCAGAGGCATATCCCGCAAGCCTGATCTCAACTCCTGAATGTACATCATGGCAGACCTAGAGCTCTCCTTTTGGTTCATGCCCTGGACGAGAGGCACAGAGAGAGATTAGTAACACTGGACCCAGTCACAAACTGGGGACTAGTATTAGTCAACAGAGCTTAACCAACATCGGGACAGACACTCATCATACTTCCCAGTAAACTATGTGAGACCCAGAACTGCCCAGCCCAGTCCCCATACATAGTTCATGAAGACTTAACCAGGCAAAAAGTACATAAGAATGGACACTCAAATAAGAGAATAAAAAATGAGTAGACTTTTGTAATGGAGTGAAATAGAATTGATACAGACATAAAATGTTATATAAAACTGGCAAAACAAACAGGTCCGAGATGAGGGCACAGTCTCCCATGTCATGGGGACCTGCTCCACGACTTACAGCCTTAGAGGTGTGCAAGTATTGGGACACCATTTCCCTCTTGATTATGATGTCCTTCTCCCTCAAAGGTTGTTGCTTCTCCTCATTCAGGTTCATATCCAGCTAGTAGGAGAGGGAGAAAAAAACAAAATTGTCTCAAATTCCTTACAAGTTTTTAGTGTTTAATATTTAGGATACTTAGTGAAGAGTCGAGCACATAAAATGCTTACTGAATAAATAAATTAATCTGATCCCTACATAGTTAAGCTATTACAGCTGGCGAAAATTCCTCAGTGATAAATGTAGTTAACATTTTAGCATAAATCCCTATGGACATTTTTATACACATATGCTCTAAGTTTTTTTCTAAGAAAAAAGGACTCAATACAGATAAAAAATGTCTTTTGTATTACTGAAAGAAAATCACACATACGATTCTTACATAGAGGATGGATCTTAAAAATCTTTTCAGACTGAAGCACAGGATGACTGGCATCATCAAACACCATCATTATCAACACCAGCAAACTCTACATCAAGTCTAGGGCCTGAACACCCACGATCAGTCCCTGTATAAACTCCTTTCCGGGGGGGGGGGAACTCTAAGCAGAGGCCCCTTAACGGCCATGACCTGGTGTGTGGTTTTTGGGGGAAAGCTCTGCTTAAGCCTATGGCATGTATAACAGCCATGTGTCCGAACCCAATACCTTAGAAAGCACAACTTGAGCCCTACCAACTCCAGACTGTTATTTGAAATGAGGAAAGAACAGGAGGGAAGGATCTATTCTGTTTCTTCTGCAAGTAGCACTATTAATTTGAAGTGCTTGTAACTTAATTCCTGAAGCTTTTTCCCTTTTGCAGATAAATTGAACACAGACGTAAAGTGGTGACCCCCAAGTTAAATAAGACTCAAAGACAAAATATATTTTGCTTGGCTAGCTCAACATTTTAAATTTGGGAAACCTCACGTGAAAATACAGATCTCTGGTAAAATAACACCACTCAATGCAAGCATTAAATTTCAAATTGTAGGAAACTCTATTTGATGCTATTCAAGAATTATTGTTTTTTTAAATTTACAGATTTCTGATTTCTTTTGAAATAGAAATATCTGGCACTAATGGGCAAGTATTTCCAAGTAGAATCCTATCCCTTACTAGAACAGAGTTGTGGCTGGTTTCTAACAAAAATGCCAAAAGCCCCTTTTGAATATGCCACAGTTCCTTCTCCTTTTACCCTCTTCTATCTAGCCTGTTTAACTTATTTATGTAACTGCTTGACCAAAAGACACCTAAATTTTCAATCCAAGACCAAGAGCTTGTCTTAACAGACCATACTCTTAAGACTCTTAATGCACTTGGAATATTAAGAGACAAATGAAGGTCAGGCGTGGTGACTCACACCTATAATCCCAGCACTTTGGGAAGCCGAAGTGAGAGGACTGCGTGAACCCAGGGGTTCAAGACCAGCCTGGGCAACTTGGTGAGACCTCGTCTCTACAATAAATCAAAAAATTAGCCAGGTGTGGTGGCCTGTGTCTGTAGTTGCAGCTACTTGGAAGGCTAAGGCAGAAAGATCGCCTGAGACAAACAGAAAGATTCAGTAAAAAATAATGATAGTAGTACCAGCTGACTGCTTACTATTAATATGAACCAGGTCCAGTGCTAAAGATTTTAAGCCTATGCTTTTAATTAAGTTAGGCCTGCCACTAGTCTCTACTGAGTCTGAGATTGTATTTCCAGTAATATATAGGTCTTACAAAACCTTGTATCAAAACTTTCCAAAACTTATCACTAGTGAACATCCACTGAATGCCCCCCTCACTCACTGAGGACAGCAAATCAGCTACATCCACATATACTTCATTACTCAACTGATTTCAGATATGATCTTTAAAAGTCCTCTAGCAATTCTATGAATCCTCTTTCCAGACTCACCACTAAACACAGAACCTTGAACAAATGATAAACCATTCGTCAGTTTTTTTCTTTGTAGAGTTCACTGTGAATACCTCAACACTTTGGCTTAACCCAAAGATGGTCTCCACACTACCACATGATCTGATCCACCTCCCCTATGTCTTTGTGGCTAATGTGTTGCTGAGCAGAAGGATATTAACAAGATGGCCAGTGATTAGATGTTTCCAAGCCTACTTCACAGATTCCAATCTTATCAACTGATATTTGTATATTTAATCCCTAACAGTGGCACTGATATTAAAAAGTTCCACACTGAGCCTGGAATTCCTTGTAACAAAGGGCTAGTTAAGGGGAACCATGCACAAAAGAGCCCACCATGCCCATAAATGCATTTTCAGGAAAAAGCAACATTTTTGGGGTGTAAACTTACCAGCATCTGTTCAAAGAGAACTAGAACTTGCTCATCGGAAACATCTTGCAATGACTGTGCTGTGGGATCATCCCCATATGATGCAGAAGAATTTCTATGAGCAGAATTGGGCTTTTCCTTCTCCTTCTTAATTCTCATGCTGGTAAGTCTCTCCAGCTGAGTAAGAGAAAAAAATATTAGCAGTGATCCATTTTCACTTACGCAACAAGTCACACATCAAACATCTTTACATACATGGTTCCTCTGGTTCATGAATAGTTCAAGATGCTTCTGATATGGAAAAAAATCAGTTTTCCTTGTACCTAACTTAACATACTAACTCTGCACCCTCACCTACATTCAAAGGTAAGAGGATTGAAGTAGTAAGATTTCAAACCTCTCTAAAATAGAAGAGACTTTGTTCTTGATCTCCCCTGCCATTTCTAAGCCATGTAGCAACACAGAACTGAAAGTATCTCATGTGCAGACCTTTATCAATAAAATGTTCTTTGTTTCCTTTTAGCTACCCAACAATAAATGTGGTCGGGCTTCCAGAGGATCCCACCCTTCAAGAGATATGACCACAGATTTTGATAGACATAAGCCACACAGGATAAATGTGTAAATGCCTTAAAACCAGGAACCATTCCTTTCTCTTTATTTTGTACATCCATATCACTTATGTTATATAAGCAGAAAAGTTCAATATATGTTCTTCAAAATCTCCTTTGCATGATCTCTAGTCAGCAAAGAATACCATGTACTTCAAGAGTACATATGCCATCTCTCTGCCAAACAAATGCTAATGAACAATACCTGAAACCAAAAAGAACCAGGCCAGGCACACACCTGTAATCCCAGCACTTTGGGAGGTGGAGGCGAGAAGACTGCCTGAGTCCAAGGGTTCAAGAACAGCCTGGGAAAACTGGCAAGAACTAATCTCTACAATAACTCAAAAAATTAGCCAGGTATGCTAGCACACGTCTGTAGTTCCAGCTACTTGGAAGGCTGAGACAGAAGGATAGCCTGAGCCCAGGTCAAGTCTGTGGTAACTGTGATCTTGTGACTGCACTCCAGCCTGGCCAATAGCGTGAGACTCTGACCCAAAAAAAAAGCCACCAATAAGCTGCAGCTTATTAGCTCCACCCATTTGAAAATAATAGCAACTATCAGCAAGCATTGTGGGGCTTCAAGTGATATGAGTGGCATCAGACTGCAAGTCCACTTGGAGTTTAAAGAACAAGCCTAATTTTGGAAGATAATGAATGTACCATGGAAATGCATGCAATGGGCCAGACACAGAGCAAAGAGTTGGGAAAAAGCCTTGAGATGCTCCAAAATTAGAAGCCATATCACCATTATGAGTTATAGAAAATCAAAGTTAAAGAATCTGGTAAATCTCATACTGTAGGAAGTGAGCTAGAACATGCACATGCCAAACAAAATTTCCTTACCTCATCTGCCATGAGCCGCTTCAGAGTCTAGGAAACAGGAAAAGGGAGGGAGAAGAGAGATCAGTGAAACCTCCCAAACACCAAATGGGTTGGGGAAAAAAGGAGAGAAAATAAGTTGAAAGGAACTAGGCTATTTTCCGCAAGTTAACAATTTCTGCCGAAGTATTCCTTTGCACATTCCTCAGGTAAGTGGAAGCCTTTTGAGGTCACTAACATGATTCTTAAACAAACAAAAAAGATGAGAACTGAACAGACTCTAAATCAGAGGACCAATTAACATGAAATGTGCTCAACTTCATAAGTAAACATGAAAATCCAAATTAAAACCACAGTAAGGTATCATTTCACACTCTCAAGACTGGCAAAGACTTCCATGTCTGTCAAGTCAGTCATACATCAACAGGAGCACTCACATACTGCTGCTGGTGGCGTCAACTGACACAGTCACTTTGGAAAACAGTATGGTAAAGTTAAAGATGCACATGAGGCCGGGCTCAGTGAATCACCCTGTAATCCCAGCACTCTGGGAGGCTAAGGTGAGTGGACTGCCTGAGCCGGTGGTTTGAGACCAGCCCGGGCAACTTGGCAAGACCTCGTCTCTACAATAAATCAAAAATTAGCCAAGTGTGGTAACACACACCTGTAGTTCTGGCTACTTGGAAGGCTGAGGGGGAAGGACCGTTGGAGATCAGCAGGTCGACGATGGGGTGGCTGTGAGTGTCACTGAACTACAGCCCAGGCACCACAACTCAACACATCGATTTCTATGTATCGGCACTGCTGAAACTTGCACATATGTAGCAGAATGTATGTACCAAGAGTATTCATAGCAACCCTGTAATACCTAAAACAGAGAACAATCCAAATAGCCATCAAGAGGCAAATGGGCTTCATCTGTGATGGAATCACCACCAAAATGCAGGCATTCACAAAAACCCTTATAGGGAAGAACACTCTTGAGAAGGATTCCTCAGATATGAGAGAAAGTGTAAAGGCTAAAATCCAGAATAAGAAATGAATTCCTCCTGCTCAGCAAAGATTGATCTTTGCTGGCAAGCAACCAGAAGTTGGATGAACTTTGTCTGACCATACCATTCAAAAGGAGTAGTACACTCTTTATCCTGTGTTAAGACTTCATGGTGGTGCTAAGAAAAGGAGTAAGTCTTACACCACTCCCAAGAAAAATAAGCATAAGAGAAAGAAGGTTAAGCTGGTGATCCTGAAATACTCTAAAGTAGATAGGTTGGGCCAGGCGCGGTGACTCACACCTGTAATCCCAGCACTTTGGAAGGCCAAGGTGAGAGGACTACCTGAGCCCAGGGGTTTGAGACCAGCCTAGGCAACTTGGTAAGACCTCATCTCTACAATAAATCAAGAAAAATTAGCTGGGTGTGGCGGCATATGCCTGTAGTTCCAGCTACTAGAAAGACTGAGGCGGACGGATTGCCTGAGCCCAGCAGGTCGAGGCTGCGGTGGCCAGGAGTGTGCCACTGCACTCCAGCCTAGGTGACAATAAGACTCCAACTCAATTAAAAAATAAGTAAATAAAGCAGATGACAAGGGTAAAATGAGTCACCTTCATCAGGAGTACCCATCAGGTAAATGTGTTGCTGGGTTTCTATGGCAACCCACTTTGACATACATTACTGTGGCAAACATTGTCTGACTTACTGCTTTAACAAACCAGAAGACAAGTAATTGTGTATAGGTTAGGAAAAGGCATGAACTTAAAAAAAAAAAAAGAGCCGGGCTCAGTGGCTCAGCCTGTAATCCCGCACTTTGGGAGGCTGAAATGAGTGGATTGCCTAAACCTGTGGGTTCGAGACCTTATCTCTACAATAAATCAAAAATTAGCTGGGCATGGTAGCGCACGCCTGTAGTTCCAGCTATTTGGAAGGTTGAGGCGGAAGGATCGCTGGAGCCCAGCAGGTCGAGGCTGCGGTGGCCGGGAGCAGCCACTGCACTCCAGTCTGGGCGACAGAGCGAGACTCCAACTCAAAAAAAAAAAAAGAATGGCCGGGCACAGTGGCTCAAGTCTGTAATCTCAGCACTTTGGGACGCCAAGGCAAGAGGATTGCCTGAGCCTGGGTTTGAAACCAGCCTGGGCAACATGGTGAGACTGCATCTCTACAATAAAATAAATTTGTTTTAAAAGTAGCCAGGCATGGTAGCATGCATCTGTAGTTCTTGCTACTTGGAAGGCTGAGGAAGAAGGATCAGTGGAGTCCAGCAGGTCAACGCTGGGGTGGCTATGAGTGTGCCACTGCACTCCAGCCTAGACGAGAGTGAGAATCCAACTCAAAAAAAATGATGTATTAAAAAATTAAAAAAAGAAAATAAAGCAATGGACAAATAAACTGGTATATTGATACAAGGAAAACAATTATACAACAAAAGCAAATAAATGTATAGCTACTAATAAGCATGATACTGAATTATTATTTCATTTACATTGAGTTTAAAAACATGCAAAAACTATATTTGGGATGTAAAATTATAAAGGAAATGATTACAACAAATGTTAAAAGAGTGGTCAGGAGAGTTGTGGGCAAGTTGTGACTGGGGAAGGGGCCAAAGTAGCTTCTGGGGTGCTTACAATATTCTATTTCTTGACGTGAATGGTGATTACATGGGTGTTCAGTTTACAAGTATTTTATGTTCTCTTCTGTATATATGCTACACTTAAAAAAAGTCTGATAGCCAAGCGTGGGGGCTCAAGCCTGTAATCCCAGCACTGTGGGAAGCCGAGACAAGAGATTACCTGAGTCCAGGGATTCGAGATCAGTTTGGGCAACTTGGTGAGACCTTGTCTCTTCAATACGCCAAAAAATTAGCTGGGCGTGGTAGCGTCTGCCTGTAGTTGGAAGGCTGAGGTGGAAGGATCACCTGAGCCCAGCAGGTCAAGGCTGCAGTGGCCATGAGCATGCCACTGCACTCCAGGCTGGGCGACAGAGTGAGACTCTGACTCAAAAAAAAAAAGTCTGAATGAGCAGGTCTGGGAAAACAGGATTTTCATCCCACTTAATTTCAAACTATATTTTTTTATTAGTGTTCTTAGAAGAGTACGGTAAATGCTTTTTTTTTTCTTTTTTCTTTTTTGAGGTGAGGTCTGCTCTGTCGCCCAGGCTGGATTACAGTGGCACGATCATAGCTCACTGCAGTCTTAAATTTCTGGGCTCAGGCAAGCCTCCCACGTCAGCCTCCTGAGTAGCTAGTATTATAGGCATGTGCCATCACATCCAGCTGGTAAATGCTTTTTGACAAACCTTCCTTACTAATAAACTAGTTCTGTTCCTGCCACAGAGCTATTTTTTCCAACCTTACTATTAACAAGAAAAATCTAATCATTATGTTCATGTTCCCATATCACACAATTCAGTTAAATCCAGTGTAAACCACAAGTCTAAACTTTCCCTTCCATGGTCCAGAGGAGGTCAAGCTTCCCCTGGCTGAGTGCTAATCACTAACCTGAAACCATGAGTACCCTGCTCAACGTTCATGAAATGTACAGTTCCTTCAGGTGTGCTGAGTACTGGGAGCAAGGCAGAAGAATGATGAAACAGAGACAGCAACACCCAAGGACACCAACACCACTGTCCCTTCGGTCATCACCATAAGTCACTTGGCACACAGAGGTGAAACAAACACAAAAGGGATGAGTGTATACAATTTGGGTTGCCATAGCCAACGTTACACTTATTTGCTCCTAGAGCAATTATTTCCAAAACCTTGTCCCCAAAACTCAAAACATTCCCTCAGAACCAAGCCAACAACCAAATAACCAGATAATGTAGGAAACAGAACCTGGGTCTAAAGAATTAGTGGCAGCTGAATTGTTCAGCCTAAGTTAAAGAAAGAAAAACTAGCAGCCTGTTTTTTCTGTTTAAAGACTTGACTCATCATGCTTCCATCCATCTCTACTACCGTTACCTAAGTCCATGCCACTATCGTTTCCTGTCTGATTTACTACAACAGCCTCCTAACTGACCTCCCTGCCTTCTTTCCTGTCTGCCCCAAACCACATCCATTCTCCATACTATATCTAAGAGTAATCTTTCTACAATACCAAGTTGTCCATGCTATTTCCTCCTTTAAAACTCTTTAGTAGGCTTAGCTGGGCTCGGTGGCTCAGCCTGTAATTCTGTGCTTTGGGAGGCTGAGGTGAGTGGATTGCCTGAGCCCGCGGGTTCGAGACCCGCCTGGGCAGCGAGACCTCATCTCTACAATAAATCAAAAAATCAGCTGGGCGTGGTAGTGCACACCTGTAATTCCGGCTACTCGGAAGGCTGAGGTGGAAGGATCACCGGAACCCAGCAGGTCGAGGCTGCGGTGACCGGGAGCAGCCATTGCACTCCAGTCTGGGTGACAGAGTGAGACTCCAACTCAAAAAAAAAAAAAAAAACTCTTTAGTAGGCTGGATACAGTGGGTCATGCCTGTAATCCCTGCACTTTGGAAGGCCAAGGTGAGAGGATTGCCTCAACCCAGGGGTTCGAGACCAGCCTATGCAACTTGGCGAGACCTCGTCTCTACAATAAAAAAACCTCATCTCCATAATAAATCAAAAAATCAGCTGGGCGTGGTAGTGCACACCTGTAATTCCGGCTACTCGGAAGGCTGAGGTGGAAGGATCACCGGAACCCAGCAGGTCGAGGCTGCGGTGACCGGGAGCAGCCATTGCACTCCAGTCTGGGTGACAGAGTGAGACTCCAACTCAAAAAAAAAAAAAAAAACTCTTTAGTAGGCTGGATACAGTGGGTCATGCCTGTAATCCCTGCACTTTGGAAGGCCAAGGTGAGAGGATTGCCTCAACCCAGGGGTTCGAGACCAGCCTATGCAACTTGGCGAGACCTCGTCTCTACAATAAAAAAACCTCATCTCCATAATAAATCAAAAAATCAGCTGGGCGTGGTAGTGCACACCTGTAATTCCGGCTACTCGGAAGGCTGAGGTGGAAGGATCACCGGAACCCAGCAGGTCGAGGCTGCGGTGACCGGGAGCAGCCATTGCACTCCAGTCTGGG